TCTCGAAATCTGTACCCCATATTTCTAAATTCCCAAATTCCTGCGCCCTACATCCCTACATTGGCATACATTTAGATTCGCAAATCTTATAATCTTGAAATACCTAAATCCCTAAATCCCTAAATTTCCAAATCCCCACATCCCCACATCCCCACATCCCCAAATCCCCACATCCCCGAATCCACACTTACCCAAAGCCCCACATCCCCAAATTCTCAAATCCCCACATCCCCAAATTCCCAAATACCCACATCCCGAAATTCCCACACCCCAAATCCACACTTACCCAAAGCCCCACATCCCCAAATTCTCAAATCCCCACATCCCCAAATTCCCAAATACCCACATCCCGAAATTCCCACACCCCAAATCCACACTTACCCAAAGCCCCACATCCCCAAATCCTCATATCCCCAAATTCCCACATCCCCAAATTCCCACGTCCCCAAATCCCCACATTCCCAAATACCCATATCCCCAAATTCCCACATCCCCAAATTCCCACATCCCCAAATCCCTAAATCCCCATCCCAAATACCCATATCCCCGAATTCCCACATCCCCAAATCTCCAAATCCTCACATCCTCAAATCCCCACATTCCCAAATCCCCAAATTCCCACATCTCCACATCCCCAGATCCCTAAATCCTTCAATCCCTACATCCCCCAATTCCCTAAATTCCTAAATTTCATCCCTAAATCCCAAAAACCCCAAATACCTATATCTCAAAATTCCATAAATCTCCACGTTCACTGCACACCCATATCTCAAAAATTCTAAATTCCCAAATTCTCAAACCGTCAAATCCATAAATCCCAAAATCTCCAAAAATTCTCTCCCTATCCCGGAATTTTCAAATCCCCAATAACTTCTCAAGATCCCTTCAATTTTTCATGTGAAACCAGAAATAAAAATCGACGATAAAATAACTCCTCTTTCGCCGTTTATCACCTTTAAACTCGAAAAACAGATTTTCTCTTGACTGTACATACGGTGTCCACCTACGCGAATGCACCCACACGTCGTTCGGATTATCGCGGCGTGCGCCGGAAGAATCGACCGGATTAATAGCGCTTCCTTTCAGGATTTCGATTCTCCTGCACGATAATCATAGGGGAAAAACGGAGGCACACCGGACGAGAACCGGGGTTCAACGTTTGTTTAATGGACGGATGAATCGGTAGCTTCTTGCGCTCGCTTCCGGATCCAAGGATCTTTACGCGCTCGCAGGACTCGATAAAGTTGCTTCAAGGGATAAGGCTTGGTTTTTGTACTTTCATGCTTATTAACGATGAGTGCTGCCGTGACTAATTCAGGGTTTATGGTAAATGACGTGTACGTGCATAGAAAAACTTCCTCATAGCGTTTAGTTAAAGACCTTGTGTGGACCTTGCAGAGATGCAGCTCCACATTTTAAATCGATGGGGTTTATCAATTCTTTTATGTAATTTATTCGATGTTGATAGAGCTGAGATAATTTATAATAGAGCTATTTTAACTGCAATTTAACTACAATTTCGATTGCATAGTACGTTGACTATGATTTCTTCTATTTAATTTTAAGTTAACCTTTGACTTACAAGATCATGTTATACTTGTGACGCAAAGATTGAATATGAGTTAATCAAACTCATATTTTTGCTGCAATTGAATTATGCGTTCAGTTCTAATAGTAATCTGCATATTTTGAAGGTAAAACGTGCGTAACATTTTAACTTCTTTTAGTCACGTTAATCTTGTAGCAATAATTAGCTGTGAATTATGCAACTGGCTAGAAAATTGTAGGTTCAGGGGTTAAATAGAATATCAACTTTAAAATTGTAAAATTGTTAGTTCACAAAAAAAAAGAAATTAAAACTGTCTTTTTGTTTAAAGATGTGGATCAGTACCAGAAAACTTCGACCATAATCAGCGATTTTAATACGTGTTCTTTTAATGCAGAATATTATTTTTAATTTGTTTCTACGACTTTAATTAGATAGTACAGAATTTATAAACCCACTTTCTCCGTATACAAGGTCTACTTATTTTAGTAATTAAGGAAACTAGTGCTCTAATATTGATAAGGAATATACGTTGAAAATTTCATGGTGCAAGCAATTAATGCAGTAGAGAATCGACTTATCGATGTAAACGAGGAAGCCATCTTAATTGGAAGAAGTATGTATAATTAAGATAAACAAACCACGTTCCATAAATTTCTTCAAAATATAGACTAAACTGAATAATATACACTTACAAATAATATACACTAAATTATATCCATTGGTTTATTATATACAGATTCAATATATTAAATGTTACAATTAGTAGAAAATTTTCTAATTTTGAATCTTGCGGATGATCAATATCGACAGGTGTAAACGAAAAAAAAGAAAGAAACAAAAGAATAATTAAGTAAGAAGCCACAAGAAAGCAGTGTTTATTATAAAATAATTACAATGAACGTATACAAAAGTCAACTAAAAATGAAAAATACTATAAAGATGCTACGCTGCAACGAGGCAAAAAAACGAGCAAAGTATCGTTTAAAAATATAAGTAAAATTGATTGAGCGTTAGCAAATTAAATAATAGAATTATAAAAATCAAACGCGTACAAATTGCGTTCCCTCTCGCAATTTCATTATTTCCTTATTATATTAAATACACAGCAACGCTAATAATAGCCGTCAGATTAAATTCCTCGGTAATAATCCGTTTTTCAAACGATTTCAATCATGCAATCTTGTAAAGGAAGAAAAAGTTATTCGCTTTGAAAGCAAACACGTTAATTTACAGTATGTATAAAACGAAGCTTAGCTTATTCTTTATCGAGGTCGCGTTCAACCGGAAATGGAAATCAGCGTGTGCAAAATAATTCACTCAGCATGCAGATAACTTATGGCTAAGGCAAAGAACAATGGTGGAAAACGAACAATTTTGGAATCGAACGAAACTGAAAACTCTTTTATAGCGTTAATGATTATATATTCTGGATGTGTTGAAAAGTTTGCATTTTTATCGGAATGGTATGAGAGCGACTCTTATTATATTGCCACTTTATTACTTTCATGTACACTACCTTCTAACACACTAATTTCTAACATACTAGATCAATAAAAAATTTATTCTTCCAGGATTAGGAATTTTAAAATATTGGATAAGCCTTATAAAATACGGATAAATTTTGTATTTATATATTTTTTAAATTTTTATCGGGGTTTTAGAAAAACACCACTATCGCCATCTATGGACGAATAGTAGAACTAACGAGACAAACCTGATTTTTTTTTTTTTTTTTACATAAAATAAATAATTTTACATTTACCAACACATGTAGACAAAATTGTAATTCCATTTTAATTATATAAAACTTAAGTTATGGCTTCATGATTATATAAAATTATAGTTTTATGATATATAATATTTTCCATAATAATTCCAACACTTCTAGAATTTATAAATTAATTCTACAAGAAAATTTTTCATTTCCCAACAATTTCAAGACTGATCGTTTTCTGCCACCGTCTTTTACACATGCATTTATGTATATATGTGCGAAATTACATAAACTGTATTATACACGGTTCTGTGCGCAAGCAACGTCCAAACAATTTAATATTCTTACGTTTCGCACTTTGAACGGCTAAATATTGACACTTCGAACAGCCGAGATAATTACAAATGTATTACAAAAATTTTAAGCGTTTAAACTGAGATTTTCATCACGAACGATATCTCGGAGAATATGTTCTCAAAGAAAAGTATATTACATACTAATACTTGCATATCAGTCTTCGTAAATCACTTACAAAAGTATTATTTACACACGCTAGCTCGTGAAATGTTTAACTTAATCAAGAATAAGACTTTGTTAAACGAATAAGTTCTGCTAGTTACCACTCTTATGACTATACAGCTCCGAATTATCAAGAAAAGATTTGAAATCATCGTTAAAATCATCGACACAATTTTCATCAATACCAGAATTCAGTGAAGCTTTATCTGACAAACTTTCTGACTATGCATCAGTAATGCATGTGAAGAAATTTTCGAACAATGCAATATATGAGAATTATTATTCAGTAGAGTAGAATGAAGTTCCATTAGACTCAACAATATATCTTCAAACATAATCACAATTAACGGTGGTGAATTAATTTTATAAATACAGTGAACTCTTGCTTTACTGCCAACGTTCATAATAATATCTTTTTACGTAATAGCAATGGCTTCACCATTATTATATAAAAAGGCGCAAAATTGTAGATCGCCACGCGTTGAATGACGCCATGTTTTGTATTACTACGCGTTGTATCGCCATGCGTTGAATGACGCCATGTTTTTTATTACTACGCGTTGTATCGCCACGCGTTACATTACCACACATCGCGCGTCGTGTGCAACATAATCACGCATTATATCGCCAATTCCAAGAATCTTCTCCCAGCTTCGTCCGTGGCAATATAGCGAGATTCATACTTGTCACCGTATCGCTGTAAAATTAACTATCACAAAATAAGATATCGCCAAAATACGAATCAAACTAAACACAGAGACCTTAAAGAAAATCTGTAAGTGCGATTAAGACTTGTCGATCAATTCTGGTATTGATGAACCTCTTTGGGAAACGTGTGTCAATGATTCTGAACCCATTGGCAAATTTCAGTATTCTCCATGAGATATGAAGAATCCACTGATTAAGCTCGATAAAATATTTTGTACAAACTTAACTCTCAACATTTAAAATAATGGGTTCTAAATTGAAAGTATCGTGAAGCAAAGCGATCAGAATGAACAAAACGATCGCTCGATACGAGGGAAGCATTCCTCTGAACCACCTCTTCTCGCCTGTTTAGAATGTCCAATTGAAAACCGTTTTAGGTTTGACAAAAGAGAGGAAAGAATTATGATAGAAGTAGGAAGACAAGGCCGCTCAGAGCGGTAACTAACACGGCGGTCATATATGACAACGAAATAGAGAATGATCGACGTTGAATTTGATTATTGTACTCACCACGAACTTGTTTCATGTACTTTTCGCTTCTGAACGAATTGCTGACCGACTCCAATAACGCGTGAAGGCATCGTAAATTTTCTCTACACGCGCACTCGACTTCCGTCTACAAACACAAACGTCAAAAATCAGTATTCTTACAGTCACTTTCGGATACACCGTATTTACAAAGCGTCATGCAAGAATCAACACCGAGCCAATTATCTCTTAAATTCAGCAGAATAGCACTGTTCAAGCAATTGCAACGCAGAAGGAATTTTTAACGCACAGAATAATTAGGCTACTTCGGTATATTGCTCGAAGTTAGAAAGTTTTATATTTCGTTTTAAATTATCAAAATGATGTAATACTTTTATGCTCAAAATCAAAAGATATTACATTCGATTTCCAATTATTAGAGTAACATCAAAAATTTATTATATATAGTTAAAAAATACAGATTCTAATTGCATCGAACCTAATGTAATTTTTTAATATAATTTTTAACTTGAAATTTTTAATACAATGTTTAAATATATTTTTTAACGAATTCTCTTTTTTATTATTTTGTGGAACATGGATGAAAATGTGTGTTTTATGAAGTACGTTAGACTTGCATTAATACAATTTACCCTGTTGCGATATTAATAGAAAATGAGCCAATTTACATACATAAGTTATGACAAAAAGTTTAATTTATATCGACACTGATAAAACAGTCTTGAACCTGTTAACGCGCACTAACGACGTTTACATAGTCATTATTGCAAGTCACGCAATTATACCTGTATCATGCAATTATAAATTAGTTATTCATTTTTAACACAACATATTCATTTTGTTCCATATCATCCTCATTTGCTTCAAAAGTATACATGGTACACCTTCCAATAACTCCGAGCAACATATCCTATGAATTATGAGCGTTTATCGGTAATTAATCCGGTATGAAGATGAGTTTGTCTGTCGATCCTCATTTATTAAGAAATTAAACCACTACCTGTTTTCATTCATTTTGTATTACATGCATCAACTTCCTTAATAAATAAAAAAACTTCGCTAACAGGTTAATGGTAACAAGATGAAAATCAGTACACCAGTTAGCACTTCATTACGCTTGATACTATTCGCTTTATTTCAGCTGACGAAAGCAGTAATTAATAAAGGAAAAAGGGATAGGCGGACGTACAGAGTGTTTCAATGTTACATAATGAAACTTGGTTTCGAATACAGAAAAGATTATTAACAATCATTAAAGAACAATTTAATACAATGTTGCATAAAAGATTTGATACTTTAATTTGTCGCTGAAAATTCATTTTATTATTCATCTTCCAGAGACACTCCAGATGTAATTTTCATTTATGTCACATATTAGATAATTAGTTGAAAAGTTTGCCAGCCAACTATTTCAGTAGTTTACAAACATCAGTTTTACTAAAAAAGGATTGTAGTTTATTAAGATGTATTAAAATTATTAATTTTACCACAGTAACGTTTCTTGTTTCTGTGAACTGTACAGCTATTATTTAATTTTGAAACGCTCTGTATTGCATATAATTACGGAAAGCCTTGAATATAACTGTACCTTACATCTTGTCATTCAGAAGCACCGTCTCAGCATTTTCCTGAGTGAAGGTATCCTTGCAAAGGACAACACTGTGCAGCAAGCCAGAGACAAAACTGCTCCCTCGAGCGAACGTTTGTCTCCGTGATTTGTATACATTGCAAAAGCAAGGAATAAGGACAAGGTAATAGTAAACATGCAGACTATTGCTATACAACCATTTTCTTCTTCATTCGAATAATTATGTATTTCATATTCATTCAACATAATACTTGTAAAGGTACAAGTTGATTTTATGGTACAACACTTTTTTTGAGATAATCTTATTTACAAAAAGCTACAGAATGAAATTTTATTAAATGCTCGCTACTTTTTATGCATACCTACTCCATGTAATTATTAATAATTATTCTGTAATTATCTACTGAAATTTCGTACTTAATTTGTCGAGTACACAAAAGTAAATTTTGCGACATAAGTAGCTTCATCTACAATATAAAATGTATCAAACCTTCGTTAAAAATATAATACATCTTACATACATATCTAATCTGCTCTAAAATGTGTTTAAATTAATCGTACATCATACAGGAACATCCACAAGGTCGTCAGTTCAAAGGCTTAGAAAAATTTCAAAATGTCAGATATCGATCACAGTACCATGGATTAAAGCATACTTATTCTACAAAGCTCGCTAAACGCAACCACTAGTAAGATACGCTAAGGTATTCGCAAAATTAAAAATAAAAACGCAAGAGTAAAAGCGTAACTAATCACACTTCTCGTAATCGTGTGAAACAGACGACACCAAATTGCAAACGAAACACTTCATGCGTTCACACATGCTTACAATATTAACACTCGTAGAGGCAATTTTGCGATAGAAAAGAGAAGCAAACTTTTTAAAGCCTTTTAAAAAGCACTTGAACAATTTGTATACTGTTTTCCCAACGCAAGACCAAGGGAATAATATACTCAATATCATACGTACGCAATCATCTGGCATCGTTCCGTTATTAGACCTCGCGAATAGATTTTCAGCGAGGGCTAACTGAGATTGCGATTTTTCCACCACGTTCCGGATATCCTCTACGTCACTGTCGCTGTCCTCTGTGGTATCAATCATTTCCTGTAACAAGTACAACGTAGAGTTTAATTAATTAGGGCTAATTAAAATGTATCGCTGAAAAGAAGGTGGCATGTTATAGCTATTGCTCTTTTGTACATTTGATGTGCAATCTTGAATTTTCTTTTGTGAATACTTTAAAACTTGATAGTAATTTTTATAACTTCATATTAATTTAAGATCAAAATGAACTCTTACTTTTAATTTTCATTGACGTATAACGTTGTTATAAATAAATTAATGAAATAAACTGATAATTATCAAAGTTTTATTAATATCGCTCGCTTTGAGTACAATTGTAGATATTGTGAGGTTCATAGAATAGTCTTCCTATAATCATGTTAGTTTTCACTGTGACCTCTTAAGAATTTGGAACAAAATGTTTGAGCACCACTGGTTAAAAGATATCGAAGCAGAACAAAGAGAAGCTGACGAAGTTTCTGTCTGCCAGTGATGCTCAAACTTGTTGGAATAAAAACACACATTTCTCGAAATTAACTTATCGTAGTTATCTAAGACCTGTTAATTTGAAGATAACGAACTAATCTTCAAATACTCCTAATGTATATATCTACATATATATCTGGTCTAATATTACTAACATGTGCAATGATTGTAATACTTAACACTCCAAAATATAGCTACAAAAGAATTAGTCAGAATCATACTATGTGATAAAAAAAAAATAGAATATGTACAATCTATTTAAAAATGTACAATTGTTTAAACTTATACACGTTTAACTTTTTCTAAATTTACAGACTTGCAGTACTTCAAATTTACAAATTTTTTATTTTGTTTAAGATACAAATTTTCAATTTTTCTAATTTACAGATTTTTAGTTTTTCTAATTTACAAATTTTTAATTTTTCTAATTTACAAATTTTTAATTTTTCTAAGTTACTAATTTTTTCTAAATATACAGCTTTTGCATTTTTCAAAGGTACAAGTTCTCTATTTTTTTAAATCTACAAATTTCTAAATGAAATTTTTAAATAAGAAATTTCCGTCTATATATTCTTAGGCTCTCCGCAACCTCTAGATTTTCCCTAAACTCCAGTATGATCCTCAACATTTGCAAATGGCGAAAGACCCTCCTACTCTCACACTTAATGCAATTGTACTCCGCACGTGACTGTACGTAACACAGAAACTTCCAAGCCCCTTTTTCCACATAAAAATGATCGAAGAATAACAGAAGTCGACTGCATAAAATACGTACTAACAGTACCAGAGATAGGTATCCCACGATATTTATCAGAAATGCAATTCACAATGACTGATTCGTTGTCACGAAATCTTGCTCTACATATCGTCTGTAAAAGTATTTTCAGCAGCGACTGTATCTGTAATTACATCGTTTACCCTCGTTAAGATATCGTCATCGCAGAGACGCGTTCGTCTCAAGCGACGTCTCGATAACAGACGAAGAGATTCAACACAGTGGGATCGAGTGAAAGGAAATTTCTTTTCAACGCGGCAACACGAACTCAAAAAGAAAACGAACGCTAAGAATCGTTGTACGTTACAATCAAGATAATAAGAAACGGAAATTGTGAACAATTTAAGTATCGACTGATACGCGTACACAAAGGTGTTACAGGGTGCGAGTAATCGAAACTGGTACAAGGTAATAATTCGGTGACAAGGTTGCAAGGTAAAAATGAATTTATTGCAAACATTCACACGACGTTCGTTTAAACACAAAATACCAAACTTTTATTTACTGCAGAGAAATTCTTCCACAGCAACTTCTCGACACATATGTTTATGTACAATACTAACAACTAAAGATCTTACACTTGTTCAAAAAAGGAGTGTTAAGAAATTTAATCTTGTGTGAACAACATTTTGTGTAAATTTGGACAGTTGGTGTAATTGGGAATACTGGACATGATGTTTCTTTTTACCATATGATAAACAGAAGTGTGCACATCATAGAAAGAATATAGACACTTGATCAAGTAAGAAGAATAGAATAGAACGTACATGATGCATACGACTTCTAGGCAGTGGCGAACTAGTTGGAACTGCACTCATGCTGGAAGCACAATCCGACTGACTGTCGAGGAAGTTTCGGTAATCATCTCCAAACTCCAATAATCTTCGGGCCGTTTCCACGTCAGGTGCTTCGCTGTATGGCTCGCTCATATATTTTTCCTGTCGATAACAAAGAACTTGAAAATTAGTAATCGTATCAGGTTAATGGAGACATCTCACATTCTTTTAATTTCACTCAATTTTTTTTTTTTGTAAAAATAGAACTCTGAGATTTGGGAATTTGAAGGAGTTTAAATTTAAATTGCGAATTTTGGAATTTAGGAAGTTTGGGATTTTTAAATTTGGAGATTTCAGGATTTGGATATTTGGGATATTTGGATTTAGAGATTTTGAAAATTTGGATTTGGAGATTTGGAATTTGACAATTTAGGGAGTTGGAGGCAAGAGTATTTGGGGATTTAGCTATTTGGAAATTTGACTATGTGGGATATATTTGGAAACTGAGGAATCTGGAAATTTCAGAAATGAAAATTTGGAAATTTATATATTTGACCACTTAACAATTTGGAATTTAATAATTTGGAAATTCAGACACTATAAACTTTCAATATCAATTTCCAATTTCAAACTAATAAGACAGAAATAGTCTCCTCTAGTCATTCAACTTCTGCATCACTTCTTACTTCCTCTACTTTATAGCCACAAAAACCAGGTTACTCAGATTGCAACATAAACACGAATCCAATTAACCCAAGAATACTGCACTCAACCCAAATTAGCAACCTAACCACATAGACAGAACCGTCAGTTCAATTATGTATGCAAATCTGCACAAAATTGTACTCCGACATAAATCCAAGTAAAACGATTTGTAAAAGTGTTGGTCAAGATTGCAACCCTAACGGTTTCCTCTACCATAGTCAACGCCATTAATTCCGCCAAGTGATGGTGACGCAGTGACATTTACTGACACAGAGGACGACAACAACGGCCTCGTTCAAACGTTTAAGGATTAAACGCGTTTACCTGATAATTATCCCAAGCCTGCTCGGAGAACGAGTTGTTGCCGAGGCTGTTCATCTCCACGTCGCTGTCGACGTTCAGTTGCTGGTTGCATAGCTCCTTGTTGCTTAGAACGGTATCCAGCAGATTGTCGTCGTACGTGAAGCAGCCTCGTGTGCAATTACGTTGCTCTTCGGGTTCTGTCTCGGACGTGGAAGCCACCGAAGTACAGCAAGGTAACCTGAACGGCGGAGTCGGGTCGCTGACGATCGTCCTCTCCGCAGAAAGCTGCTGATGTGAGGTGCACCCCGAGAACGAGCCGGATTTCACCAGGGTGGTCAAACGACCGTGGCAATCTCTCGAGATCGTACGTATACCACGACTTCCGCTTATCTTGCGGGGCGAACGTTGCTGATTCGACGAACTACCGTCACTTCCGGCGGAATGATTCGCGTTCACACCCTCCGAGCTGGAATCGCTCTTGCGGCCCTAGCGATGGTGAACAGACTTTTATTTACGCTCAGAAACTCACGGATTTTATTCGCGTGTGTTCTTTGTGGAAAATACCTAATCTTTTTTTAAATGAATTCATATACATTTATATACGAATTTCATGTAGATATTCAATACATTCGAAACAAGTGTATGGCTTGATGTACATTTTTGTCTTTAAAGGGATTTGAGTGAAGCAGTGGATACCACTGATTTCTAAGTTCATATCGAAGTTTTATTTTGGGAATATTTTCATCCACAAATTGTACTCAATACTTATAACCAATATTATCAGCAGATAGTATAAATAGAGTTAATATAAATAAATATAGAATAATTTGTATATTTTGTGGTACATCTCTTATACCATATGGTACTCTTTATTTACTATAAATAAACAAGTTTTATATTACCCTTAAACATCTGTTGTGTTAGAAAAAGTAGACGTGGGCTAGGTATAGATCATATAAAAATTTGTCGAAGAAAAAGAATATAAGTTAAATACAAGAAGTGAAAGTCATTTAGCGACAAAATTTGTTGGCTAATTCAATAGCACTCTTACCAGATTCTTCTTGCGTAATCTGCTCTTTTTTCTGCGCAACGAGCTGTTTCGAACCACACGGCCATCGTGACATATGATCGACTCCTCCAGCAATGTGGACGTTGAATTGTTGAAGGACTTCCGTGATCCTCTGCAATTCAGAAAGCGAGAAAACAAAAGTGAGAACTTAGGGTCTCGAAACGGACGTCTAAGAGTGATAGCTTTAATTAAGGCTACGGGTCTAGAAACGTTTTCTGATGATCTACGGTTCTGTTAACGGCCCAACCACGTACTCTCTACCGGTATCCGTAAGATCATCGAAGTCAAGCTACGTTGGGCACGGTCAGCCCATAAATGGGTTACCATGTGCTGCTGGCACATAAAGAGAAATAATGATGCAAAGAGACATAAACGTCAACAAAAACAAAGAGTTATGGTTGGACAAACTGTTCCTCTTCAACGTTATCTTTTGAGAAAGTAATATAAATATTGTTCCGACGAATACATTAAAATAGCCTAAAAAATAAATCCCTACGAGAATTATTGCACATGTTGGACCTATTCGTCAGAGTTAGTCAGAAAACGCTTCCGCTGTAACTGTAAGCTAAGTTTAACATGTTGATTGATATGGTTTTCTGGTAACCAACATAATGCTATCATCATTAAAAGGTATCTAAAGCTATGGACTTCGAATATTTTTCTAGAGTACATGTGTATATTAAAAAAAATATAGCAACAAAAAATACTTGAAAATCTTATTTATGAACGCTACAGATTAAAATATTAAAAAATCATTCACATTTGCACAATTATACTGCTCACCATCGTATGAGAGTTTCATATGAAGTTATATGAGATTTTTATTTTCTGTCACTTAGAAAGAAATAAAAATTGTAATTTATGTTTAAAAAATCAGGGTAAGTTGGATTCGAAGAGATTGCAGCGGTTTAAAAGGCAAAACTAAAAAATTTCTATCTCTCAAAAATTCTATATATTCTCTGTTATTAACTGAAATATTTTTCACAAAGTTTCAAGAAAAGAAATTTTCGTGTTCGCCTGTAACTTCAGTTGAAGCAAGGTGCAAAATGTTCTTGACAATCTATCACTAGACATCTACTATATCGACTAGCTATCAAGCTATTCTCACAAAAATAAGAAAATGGTAATAATAAATTACTCACGTTGCATCTAAGGACACGGATTTGGTCGGAGGAGTAGCAATCAATTGATGAAGCGCCGTCTCGGAGATGGAGAATTGCGAAATCGGGTCGTTGGTTTGATTCAGATTAGCGTTGTTGCCGATCTGCGAGATGCACGAGACACTCCATGGCCTGGGACCGTTCGATTTCTGTTTGGATCGCATCACGACTTTCGGCGTGCTGGAGTCCAGCATCGGATGGGTCTCGTTCATCGGCGTCTTATCGGCGTCGTCGAATATCTCTTGCGACACTGACTGAGACGTGCAACCGAGTGCACCTTCGAATCGCCGATACGTTGCTACACTGCTCTGCAGATCCTCCGACGAAACGGACTGCCTCTCCCCGTCGGATTCTTCGGTCGTGTACTCGCCGCTCGCATCGCAACTATCCAACGGCTGTAATTCGCGTTCATTACAATTGTTACGAAACGTTATAATTCACTTGAAGCCTCGTTAAAACGCCTTTATCTATTTAACGCGGACCCACTCCAAAACTCGGACCGTTCTTTTCCTTTCTACTCCGACATTTTTGTTCAGCTTTTTTCACTCGTTAACGCTAGGTCAATGGAACCAGTAAAGATGATGGATCTTTTATTTCTTATGTTTCGTTATATCATAAATATTAACATTTAATTACATGTTGTATGTACTTAATAGTTATTTCTGTAATTTATACATGTGAAGATGTGATATGTTAACTTTTGTGAAGATAGAGAATTGTTTTATATGATAGTTTACATATTGACATTTATTTATTTTTCTGCTTTAGTTTCAAATGAAAAATGACTGGTCAAAGACCGTAAATCTTGTGTAAATTTCGATCAATCAGAAAATGATCAATCAAGTCGAAATAAATAAACGATAAAATATTAATTTTTCATTTTGATAAAAATCAAGATTTTAATAAAAGCGACTTATGACAGAAAGCTAGCAACTTAGGGAATTATAAAATTTGTTAAAAATATAAAAAATTGATGAATTTAAAAGCTTTCAAGTTTAAGTGCGTGTCATTCGAAGAAAGCCTACGCAGCACTAAAGTGTATACGTACGTACAATCACACTGAGATCCCGCTATATGGCCCTGAACGAGGCTGTCGAAGAAAGTGAACAGCCTCGCCCAGACCTGTACTTGAACTTCAAAAAATACATATCATTACCGCATAATCTTTTTGCAGAACAAAACAGTATAAACACAGCCTAATGAAAGCTTGAACTTCTCGAATGAAAGACTTTCTTAAAATCCAGAGACTCCACACAAAAATTCGAAGCAATCTCTAAATTTAAAAATTCTCTCCAACACGTAGCAAATTTAAATTGGATTTTATCAAGCTTCAACAAAGAGGTTCAGACTACAATAAAGTTTCACTCTACCGCACATTAAATTTCATTTCCAAGAACAATGAGGCACACTTTCCTCGTGTTTCGATTAGCATGAAACAACCTATCCCCAGCAAGAAAGAGGAAATAAGTAAAAAAAGATCCTACATCCTTACGTCCGTAAAAGGTAAGCATCGAACAATACACACCCCGCAACAATAGCAATAATTGCAACCTACCTGTGACGTAGATCGTCCATCGTGTCCACGAGCAGAGTTCAATTTCAACCACTCCTTTATTCGCGCGTGCTTGGCACGATGATTACTCGATATACCCTTCTTATCGTCGAGTATGAGTGGTGGAAACGTCTTGGCCGCCCCTGTGCGTCTTTCCTCGCCGACCAATTTCTCTACCTCCTTGATGAGCCTCTGTATGCTCGTCTTGTCGTTTTTCGTTTCGTCGTCACTGTCCTTCTCGTGTTGAGAGGACGCGTCGATTTCGTTCGATGTCTCCTCGACGTTCCCCATACCGACCACCGATTCTTCCACGGGTTTCTCGACCAGTGTCTTCGTGGTCTCCGGGTCGTTGTTGCACTGCGATTCGCCGAAATCTAAACGTACCACCACGTTCCTTTCACGTTGCTCCGAAACGTTGTTCGCCCGCGACGACGTGTACGTCCACTCCTCTTCGGACGACTCTTCGGCCACGATTGCCGCCTCCTCGTTCTGCTCCGAGTCGGTGTCCAGGTGTTTGAAGTAGAAGGTCGCGCAGTTCTTCGATTTCCTGTCGGATCTGATAGAAGACGGTTTGGTTCAATGACGGGTTACATTCGCAGACGTTAAGCTTGTGTGGGATTAATTTTATGGGTGCAGGGACGAAGTGACCTTCGAGATTTGATGGTATTTTCTGTTTAATTCTAACATAACGCGTTGCAAAACATCTGTCAATATTATAAACTTTCATTACATTACCACGTGCAAAATACAGTAAAAAATTCTTTAAAAATGCAAGATGTTCAAAAAAATTTCTCCTACAATATAACAGTGTTCATCTTCATTTGTACATACTATAAAATGGCAACATAACAAGAATCTACAATAAATCTTTCCTACACTAAAATAAACTTGAACATATTCACATCTACGATCTACAATATAAAATTTACATCACCTCGAAAAGTTTAAGCAGTCCTCGATGCACAGCTTCATCGCCGTCTCAACACGAATGAATACAAAATGTTATCAAACCTAACGAATTTGTACAAACTATATTTGTCAAATAAAAACTAAACCCGAAACAATTGTACCTTGTACTATCTTATCGTTGCAGAAACGAGTATAACTCTCCGAAAATAACCGAAAAGGACAAGATATACTGTCAACTTGTGTTTGAGCACGTCGTCAATCACGATGCACACGCCCACGAGATAAAACGTGCTGATAAGAGCGACTTACGTGTTAAAAGAGGCGACCTCCTCAGTCGCTCTGCGACGTTTCACAGGTTCGTTAGCGATCAGATTATTGCTGTTCGATTGTTCAACGTTTCCTGCGGGTTGACCGTCGATTTGATCGCAGTTTTCCTCGATGGCCGTCGAATTTGTCATCGGTACGGTGTCGGGTGTCGGTGGCATTTCGTCTTCTTCGTCCTCTTCGCTGACGGCGTCCTCCTCGATGTCACCCTCTTCACCTTGATCGCCCAAACTGGACGCGATTCGATTTATTCTTTCTCGGGGATTTTCCGCTCCCTCGGACTTTGCTTCCATCACACACAACTGACATAATTCATCCTGCAATCAATAGTTGCTAATTGAATTTCGTGAACTTTACTGGTGTTATCGTCGTTGTCGATTGATCGATTAACCTGTGATCACCGGAGAACGTCATTTTTAACAAGCTCTGTGTTTTGAAGTGGAAAACGCGAACATTGTCGAGAGAATCCGCGCGTTTACGATCCTCGCTTGTGACTGGCGGGCTTTGAAGCGCGAGCAGATTATCGCGATAATTTGTTCACGATAAGAAGTTAATTATCGATCAAACCGCTAACTGGAACGCTAACATAAACGCTACTACGATATTACGTTAAAATATCAAAACGATGATTGAATATTTTTTGGTGGGAACTATTATAAATTATTATAATTAGGAACTATTATAACTATTTTGGAAATGAATCATTATGTGTACAAAGGATATTTTTGGAGAGTTAAGATTGTTGAAGATATTTTTTATTGAGAAACGATATATCTGAGGCTACGTGGACTTTCAGGTGGACTTGTAGGTGTTATATATTTACTGTGAGTGATGGCTGTAAACGTCTGTCAGATGAAGTGGCGAACAATGATATTAATGTTAATTAATAATATTGTTAGTTAATTAATGATATTGATATATGAAATATGAAAATCTGAAAACTCAAAAATCTGGAAATCCAAAAATTGAAAATATAAAAATCTAAAAACTAAAAAAATTCTAAACCCAAAAATTGGAAAATTTAGAAACATGAAAATCTAAAAATATAAAAATTAGAAGACCCGAAATTTCATCCGCCTAAAGTTGTAACAAAGAACGAGAAAGTTATTTTCAATTCTCCCAACATAAGAAAGCTTGAACACAAAGGCCAGCGATTCTAATTTTTCCTCGGTACTTCGAATAAAAAATATAAGGTATATAGCATCGAATTATCGACACGAAACCGTAACACTGATCAAAGACAAAAAAGTCCCGAGAATATTACAGGACATCTTCATGAAAGTACGTGCGTATCCGATTCGTTGTGCACGCGCTACTGGCCACCGTGCGTGCTCGTTTCGTGGCAGATTTCTTTTCACTTAACACACTACTCAATCACTATTTATTGTTCGAACAAACCAACTAAGGCTTTGATGCAATCACAAAAATTTCACATTGTTTCAGTATAAAAACGGTTCGACATGCTCACACAGAGGGCACAATGAAAAATTTTAATCAGCGTAACGCGAAAAAGAAACAGCTGTTTTTGCATGTTTGCCTTTTTCACTTCTGCTGAGCATATTTATTACTATGTTTCCAAGGCTTTACAATGTTTCAGTTTAGAGGTAGAACACTGGTTTTACTGGTTATATTTTACTTGTATATTTTTCTAGCGAATCATAGAGAAAAATAAAATTATGAGCTGATCGTCAAGTCGTATTTGTATGATATTCTTGAAGTTGTTTTATCAGAAAAATTATTTATTCGACGATAAATAGTCGTACGATACTTCGAAGAATATGTAGTAAAGAGAGTTAAAATATCTTGAAAGTGAATTTATTGAAAATAAAATACTTGTCAGGATTTTGAACGAATTTAATATGAAACTGAAAGTGTCGACAGGGAACTTTATTTTATAACATTAATTTTATGCTAACTTTATTTGTAACATATTTATAACCGTCTTTTTAATGTCTATTCTTTAAAAATTTTGTATAAAACAAGAATGATATTTATATCAAAGAATGTTTCCTGTAAGCTAACAATTGATATTTGAAATTTTGTACATAATATAAACAATTTTCTAATGTTACTTCTTCATGAAAATTCTTTGCTACCTAATCTTTTGAACTTGTTGAATAATCTTCCAAATTGAATTAAATTTCCATCAATCTCAATTTTGCATAAATTGAAAAATCTTAAACCTTAATTTCGCCTAAATTAAGGTTTAAAAGCTAACCAATAATGAATTATCGAATACATTACAGAGAAGCTAATAAATTACTCGACACGACCGAGCAACAATAAATCTCAAAAGAAGAACACTGTTTCTCGGACAATCAATAAAATAAAAATTTATCTGAAGGTGCAATAAGCGTTTACGCAACACGTTCCACAGACCGAATGAATCAGTTGATAATCGAAAAAAAGATTAAACAGAAAGAAAAAGACACACCGAAACGAAGTAATAAGCCAGGAAACTGGTTTCCCTGGTAAGCGAGGATATTCTTTCCCAACTTGTGAAGATGGAAGAAATTGATGTAACTGAAAAGCAAGCACGTTCCTTAGACGTCACGTATGTAATTACACATCAATTTCAATTTTTATTTTATTTCGCTTGGTGAATATTTCAGAAGGTAAAAGGCCCCGCACTTTCTCCGAGTTCTCATTCCGCTCGGGCAAAGCAATGAGTTCAGGATTTTCGTGCTTCCTCGATGAAAAAAATAAAAGGAAAAGGACGCTTTCGTGCCATTCGCGCCGTCTCCGGAACATCTTTTCACGATAACAAAGTTGCTGTTCTCGATTCTCGATGACCACTTAACTTCTGCCGAATTGAGTTCAAGTTTATTTTCTTAAATTACGGTTTCTTTTTCATATGAACTTTGAGACGTCAAAATTGAGAAATTGAAAATTTTTTACCTTAGAATTGTTAAAATTTTAAGGATAGAATTTTGAAAGATTATAATTTTGAAAGTTGAAAGATTGAATTTGAATAACCTTGGAACTTCGAAGTTTTTGAACCTTTAAATTTTGGAACTATGAAATGTTTGAACCCTCAACTCTTTTAACTTTGAAATGGTTAAAAATAATATTAACGGGTGGTGGGAAAAATGCTTAAAAATAATGCAAATGAGTGGGTCCCAAAAATGTGTAAAAATAGTGTGAAACGATCACAAAAAGCACCACTAAAAATTGCATCTCTCCACGAAAGTTCGAAGAGTGTTACCGAAATTTCTTCATTCAATGAAAAGAAATAATGAAAGATAAATGAAGCATAAAAAGCGAACAATAATTCTTATTAATCAATTCCTCCGAACGGATAAAGATCGAATCACCATGAAACCGCTATTCTATTCAACATATAATTAATAATATATACAAAATCGCCGTTTTTAATTAACGTGTCCAACGTGGTCATTGAAATGAACGAGTACAAAAGAGAGCGAAAATATTGAAAGCACAGAGACACATTATTAAAAATCCTTTATGCAAGATTTCAAACTTTCTCCACCTGTCAGTAATATGATCACAAAAGAAAGAGGCTAGAAGGTGATACCAATGAATCCAACACCTTCGATTCATTGCCAAAATTGATTCATCTGCAACGTCAAAAACAAACGGTGGATGGTTGTAAATCAATTTCACCGACAACAAAGGAACTCAACGAAAGGAAACGGTACGCGTTCCACTCCGTGCACTCTAATAGATCATTCACACTGGTAACGAGCACGTGTGTCATGAATACAACGCTGCATCGTGCGCACTGTGGATACACGCAACGATCCTTTGACGAATTCCTTTGATATTAATCTGTTTTTATAATTAAGCGAACGCCCCTTTACTTCCCTGGTTATGAAACGAAGATTAGATATCGCAAAAGGAACAACCACCATTATTGTTATTTACTGTTTATTAATATTTTGATGTCACTTAATTAATATTTTCATGTCATATACTGCAGATTGTTTATACATAGTTTAGAGAAGTTCTTATTAGATTAATAGCATTTCTTAAATATTGGATGTTCTAGGATGAGAATTTCCTGAGTCCATGGTTTATTTAGATCTGTTTCCCTAGGTCCGTGTTTTTCAAGGTTCACGTTTTCCTAGGTTCAATTTTTCCTAGGTCCACGTTTTACTAGGTTCACGTTTTACTAGGTCCACGTTTTACTAGGTTCACGTTTTACTAGGTCCACGTTTTCCTAGGTTCACGTTTTACTAGGTCCACGTTTTCCTAGGTTCAAATTTTGCTAGATCCACATTTCACTAGGTCTACGTTTTCCTAGGTTCACGTTTTACTAGGTCCACGTTTTCCTAGGACCACGTTTCACTAGGTCCACGTTTCACTAGGTCCACGTTTCATTAGGTCCACGTTTCACTAGGTCCACGTTTCACTAGGTCCACGTTTTACTAGGTCCACGTTTTCTTAAGTCCACGTGTTCCTAGATCCACGTTGTCCTAGGTCCACGTTTTCTTAGGTCCACGTTTTCCTAGGTCCACGTGTTCCTAGGTCCACGTGTTCCTAGATCCACGTTTTCCTAGGTCCACGTTTTCCTAGGTTCACGTTTTCCTAAATCCACGTTTTGCAGATTCGACTGTTTATTTAAATTTGTTTCTTCTACATCTACATTTTCCTAGATCTATGTGTTACTAAATCTATACTTTCCCAAATGTATATCTCCCCAAGTCAAATTCTCCCCAAATCTAAGAAGCATTGCCCTTTTCTAAAAATAAATTCTCGCGAGAACAAATGGGTTAAAAAAATGCTGAGAAATCTTGAAAGGCCGAGAAGAATCCAAATATAAAGAATTCGAATATTAAGACCCAAAGTTGTTAACTTTCGTAACAATAAATTTCTCCCAAAATAAACTTAGCAAGACAACGAAATTTTCTATACTGAAAAATAATTCACGGTTCACAGATTAAATCGACAAGGTAGATCGAAGAGGCGAGCTTCGAGACGCTCGGGTCGTCGAGGCACAACGATCACTTTTGTTCTTGGAACGAGACAATGGCAGCTAATAAGGATCAGGCTGATTTTCATATTCAGGTATCCGCCCTGTGGCCCTGCGGAGCCACGTTGTCGAACGGGTTTAGGGAGGTTCTCTGTTCTACGGTTTTGGTCGATGAATTTTGATGCAGCGACACAAAACCGACCGGATACATGTGGAAGTTAACGGAATATGGAATATATGATCTGAAACTGAAATTCGTCGTTGCAATTCAAACGAGGTAAACTTTAAAATTCTAATGATATAAAAGAATACAGTTGAAAACGTGTTAAACAATAAATTAAAAATAATAGGAATGCTCCGAATTTCGTTCTGAGACACGTGCATCAGGTATGCAAGACGGTTTCAGCGAGCTGAAAACGAAACAATGGTGTGTTTCTAAGCTAATAAGGATCAGGTTCACCTTTACAGTCAGATGTCTGTCATCGTATTCGAATGACCGTATTGCACCGGGTTAAATTGACCCGAAACGGAAATACTGTACTTAATAATTTACTTGTTCAATACTCCATTTTGTGTGACATTCACTGACTTCTATTTAAAGTATTTATTCAAAAAGTATATTCGAAAAATTGTTATATTTCTTGTATACAAAATTTCTTTTTATGAAAAAAGAAAATGTATTTCAACTAATTTCTATAGTCAGTTATATTTGTAGATAACCACGTCTTTCCAAGAAAATATTCTTCAGCTATTTGTTAAGATAACTTCAGCTATTGTTTCAACAATTAATGAATTATATAAAGTAATAAATGTCGTCACAAGTGGACGATAGCGTAACATTTTTCAAAACTCAATTTTTTGTTGTAATAACAATGATAACATGGCACTATATCATTCGGAAATTTTTATTTTCTGCATTGCTGTGATAACTTCGAATTTTCACAAGATAACGTCTTTATCTTTTGAACATTCACGAGAGCATTGAGTTTTTATTTTAAAAGAGAAAGCGCATATTCTGTTATCAGTCAGTTATTAAATACAATAAAGTAGAAAAGAGTTAGTTGAAAATTTGCAAATCTGCTTTGTTCTGAATAATCTGTGGCAACACTTTTGTGTATTCAAAGTGATTGTTTGCAAAATGTATTATTAGTCAGCGTTGTTTACGGTGTATATACTTTTGATTAAATTCATTTGATACTATTGCGTATATACTTTTGATTAAATTCATGAGGGCTGCAGAATATTATGATTCAAGAAATTTTTCATTCAACTTGTTACAGAAATATTAATAATACAATTTAACGGTACTAATAATTATATTTACTAATTTCTGACGGTCATTAATTATTAAATCAATTGAAAAGTTTTCTACGAACGAGAAGTTTATAAATTCTCTTACAAATATTCTGGAAAATTTTCAAACTTATTTTTCTCAAAATCGAATCTGCTAATTAAACAAATATTTGTCTAATAAAAATATGAATGATATTCGAAGATTAATATTGAAAAGTTTTCGAAGCAAAACTTTGGCAAAGAAGTCTTGTTGTCAAAAAATGACAAACTTTGTCCTCTGAATATGAATCGAATCATAAATATTTGTCGACTTCATCCCAATATGTTTGCACCAAACTGATAGTAATTCTTGTTATCGATTACAGGATAAGAGAATCCTTGAAACAATTTTTACGTTCAATGTCTAAAAGATAAATTTCGTGTTTCAAACTCCATATTAACGAACAACCAGGTCAACAATTATCCAAATCTTCAAAAACACCGACAAAAATTATATATCCAAATTAAATTAAAAATTTAAATAATATACTGAAATCCAAAGAAAAAATATAACATTAAAAAAGCTAGAACGGAAACAAATTCAAGCTCCAAATCGGCTCAACAAAAACCTAGCCGAGGTTAATATCTCACTTTAAGAGCAACACCATAACTGTCATAAAAGAATTTCACGAAGACCCGTTCATTAGCACTACATCACTAAATCTTCCATCCTCGTTTCTCTCGAGATAAAAATCCAGGAACAATTCATCACAAAACTCGACCACGAAACTTGTTTTATCACTCAGCAAATCACAATGTGTACCAAAACTTTCTTCGTCACTAGAAGCTTCCTGTATCCTTGGTAATCGTCGTCCGTTTTTAGGAGTTTTCACTCAAGAGATGTGCACAGAGACTGTTTGATTATTTAGAAATTAATGCATTTGCTTCAGAAATGAATCGTATTGAGAAACACTGTGAATGGAGAAACGGTGAGGAATTTCATATTTGAATTATCGTCGATATTTAATGTGAGGGTACTATGGGATCGATGGACCCTAAATAATAGTTGGAGATTGGGTGTCAAATTTTCTCGATGCGTTCAAACATTTTTAATTCAGCATTCGAATGACTTCCGAGCTCTTAAAATAAAGTTCACACGTTTTAGTTGTAATTGTGTTATTTTTCAATCCATTCCTGATGAAGGAAATCCGGCTGGAAGGAGAGAATTCTACGCACCTCGAAGTAGGATCCATCGCCGATCGATCGATTCTCAGAAGACGCGTCGGTGTCGGAGAATTCCGCTTTGCTCGCGGCTGAATCCTCGTAGTATCGCGATCTCGTGGCTTTGTGGCGTTTCGAGCGGTCCGAGCGCGTTGAACGAGCCGACTGACCCGGGGATTCCCTTCCAGAACCTCGCGAATGTCTACGGCTGAGTCGAGGCTGCTTCGTGACTGGCTCCTCGTCGCTGTCGCTACTGCAACGGTATGGCACCACGTTCTGAAACACCGAATCACCCGATTCGATAAACCCTGGTCGACTACCTTGCGATTAACGCTAGGTCTAAGAACCGTGTCGAAATGACGCATAGATTTCCTATTTTAACGCTAGCTTTACGGCCGTTTAATGACTAGCTATTTCCAGATTGAAAAAATGAGAGATGCAACCTGAACTAGCTTATTATTTCTTATCTCGATAACGGGTTATTTACATTTTAACAAGAGTTTGTTAACAATTTTTAAAATACGGATTAAGAGTTTTGCATGTTGTTAGACTGATTTCTGGACATTTCAGTGGTACGTATACTTTATGATTACTTTGCGAATGTCTATCTTGGCCATTAAAATTTTTTTACCGTTACGGTCTACTCTTAGTCACCAAAGCTTTGCTACTGTTTCAGTCATATGTCTCAGTCAACAAAACTTTTTTACCATTATAGTCGTAAGTCTACTTTTAGTCACCAAAGCTTTGCTACTGTTTCAGTTATGTCTCAGTCAACAAAACTTTTTTACCATTATAATCGTATGTCTACTCTCAGCCACCAAAGCCTCCATTAGAGTCCATAAAGCCCATTGTTAGAGTCATATGTCTAATCTTAGTCACCAAAACATTTTTACCGTTCCAGTCACGTGTCTACTCTCAGCCATTTCATTGTCAGTCATTTTGTGCAGTTACAGTCGTATATCTACTCTCAGACACCAAAACAATCTAATTACAATACCAAGTTACAATCGTAAATCTACCCTCAAACAGCAAAACAATCTAATTACAATGCGAAGTTACAATTGTAGATCTACTCTCAGGCACTAAAGCTTTTTAATCATTTTCACTCGCATATCTACTCTCATTAGAGAACCATATTGATTTCATGTAATACCGAGTCAACAAGCTCCAGAGATACATAGAAATAAAAAGGTGTAACTAAGTATTTTCACTTGTTGAAGCGTTTGAAAAATAATATTTTAAAATGGCAGAAAGAAAGTTAACGAAATAAGTGTACCGTGAGATTGAAAGTAGAATTTTATTTTGAGTCTTTGGATACTGACTTTGATATAGAAAGTAATAAAGTGAAAGGATGTTTTGAAAATATTTATACTAGCGATTCTTATATTTTTCTACGGTCAAGAATTCTTTTGCAATTATATCAAAAGTTATTTAAAACAAATCCTATTATTGAAAAAAATGCCATTAGCGTAGGACCTTTTGAAACTAAAATATTTAACTGGTACCAAAATATATTCCTGTGATCTAAAAACCAGTTTTAACAAAAAATAATAACTGTAATTTGATCGAAACAAGACATCTGCGAATCTTTATAAAAATAAGTACAAACATAAGCAATATGCTACAAACTATCGCCAAAATTTCCATATTAAAAAAGCTAACAAATAAATGTAAAATGACGGTAAAAAAGAATATAGAACAAATGTAATCAGCATAGATACACGTGCCAAAAAGAAGCATGGTAACAGGAAACTGGGTGTGGCAAAAATTAGTCAAGCAAAAAATATCCACAAAGGGCTATACGATTTTTCCACGATCTCTGTCTTTATTCTCGATTCAACTAATTTTACTCTGGCGCCGATCCAACGAGATTTTCTGTGAATTCGTGTAAAACATCGTTTCCTTCCCCGATCGCTGATGTTTCTGTGTTCTTAAAAAATTCACGCGTTCTTCTATTATCGCACGTGTCGACAGAAATTTCCACTGAATACCCAGAACTGGCACCGAATACACAAGCTACATTTCTCAAAAAATGTATAAAGCAAACAAAAATTTATTCCTTTATATTTCGATGCTGAAAAGATGAAGAAGCTTGAAAATATTTTTGAGTTACAAAGACGGAAGCTTTTTAAAAGTATAAAATATATTAACGCAAAGAATTGAGTTATTACTTTTTTAACCTTAGCATAAATTACCTTGCAACATTACATCAACAAAATTTTTTAAGAATTTGTGACGAAACAAATTATTCAATAGAACACAATTTTTAAAAGAAAAATTGGTTGTATACCTAACATGAAACACTAAATTTTTTTGTATTTTTATTAAAAATTAGTCTTTACAAGATCTAATATAAAAGATCTTGTAAACGAAATCTGTATTTATAGAATTAAAAATTTAATGTATTTAAAAAATTTGCATAATCCCAATTTGTGTTAGACCAATCTCCTTGTATTGCCAATCTCGCATTGTTAACAAGGTCCCTCAAAGCAGGGCATTAGAAACTTAGAAACAGGGTATGAAACTTTGATCTGAAAAGTGGAACGTAAAAGACTAAAACCAAGATCAAATCGGAACATTTGAAACGATAGAAGTACTGCATTAAGCAAATGACACAAAGTGACTAACAAAAGATCAATACGCTCGATGGACAGCGTTGATATGGTAGAACGTGTGTATATCGGGAATAAATGCAAGATTAATGGCCATTTTCATCGAGGCTCGACTAAATTTAGAGGCCACGATTCAAGAGACTGCTATTTGAGCTCAGACATTGTTATGAATTATAAGCATGAAATAATTATTATGCAGTCATCACTTAACGATAATAGTCGTTTAAAACTTCCAAGAATAGCATGATCCTCTAAATTCTAAAGAATACTTAATGTCCTATTCCAAAGAGCATTATGCCCACTTTAATTGCTTCTCAAACAACGGATCGAAATTTATTTGCAAATAAGTGGTTGCTTATATATCTTTTGGCGCGACATTTAATCTAATCTAACACACCAAGTATTTTTCTATTATAAATTGATACCTGATGAATATTAAAGTTATATGCAACTAACACGTTTGTACCATTCAATAAATATGCGGTATAATAGTGAACGTAGAATGATAACAGTCAGAAATAAATTCACGATCGAGATAAAATCGCGTGCATTATATAATCGACACGATCGATAAATTCGATTGAATGAAACTTTGTTCACGAATCTTTTCAGCGTTCGCCGTTCTTTACGAGTCCATTATGAATTCTTACGTATTCAAAAGTGATTGATGTGATATTACGTAACGGTTCCTGCAATATAATGCAATTATATTAAATACGTAAAATATCTAATATCATTTGCTCACGAATCTATTCAACGTTTACTAAATTCTAAACTTTCCACAGATTTTTCCGGAATTCCTGTAGAAGTATTTAGACATGATTGATATGATATTACGTAACGGTTCTTGTAATGCAACATACTATCATTATATTGCCACGGGCGTGAGCTGCACCAACGAAAAGGGTTTGAATTCGATGCATTAGAATATTGAAAGTTCAAATCTCTTTAATTTCAAATTCGCGAATTTAACAACTTTAAAATTTATAATTTCAAATACTCAAATTTACAAATTAAAAATTTCAGAAATTTACATATTTTTAAATTTGAAAAATGTATAACAATTAATATGTTTTGATGTAACATGTAGTGATCTAAAACGCACAGTAATTCAAAGCAATATATCGAATGGCAATATAACGTCAAAGCGTAATAATATAACGAGTGGCGATATAACATGTAGAGATTTAAAGCACTTGATAGAAAGTGTGGTAATTTCACACACAAAGATATTGAATGCGTGGTGTTACATAGCAATTTTAAATGTGCGGCTATATAGCATGGGGTAAACACAACACATGGCGATATAACACGTGGTAATTTAAAAACCACAGCAACGCATGTAGCGACGAATAATGCAAGGAAATTCAACGCGTGGCAATATAACGCGTGGCGATATAATGCGTGAAAATATAACGCATGGTAATTTAAAAACCGCTGCAATACAACGCGAAGAGATTTCTAACGCATGGAAATTCAACACACGATAATTTCAAATATGTGGCAATATAACGCGTGGCGATATAACGCGTGATAATTTAAAAATCACAACAACACAACGCGCAGAAATGTCAAACACACGGAAATTCAATGCGTGATAATTTTAAATGTGTGGCAATTTAACGCGTGGTGATACAACGCATAGCAATTTTAAACGCCCAGAATTCAACACGTAGCGATAGAATTCATAGTAATTTCAAATAAGTAACAAATTAACGCGTGGTGACACAACACGTGACGATACAACACCACGATATGGTATTTAAAAAAGGAAATAGTACCACATACAAAATATCTGATACTAGTTGAAGTACATCAACAAGTGCTAGATTATCCAGAGGCAAGGAAAACTGCAAAGCTATCACCGAATGATTAGCAACAGATGTTAGTTGGATGTTTAAAGGCGAGTTTACAAACGTGCAAAGGCTTACATCGCGCAAATGATCGCATTTCGTTGATCCTCTTAAGGGGTTAATTTAATTGCTGGTCAAAGCCGGGTGAAAGGCGTAACAGCGATGCATACCGATAACAATCGCAACATTTGCTTAAATCCGCTTGAAACAGAACGGTACTCACGAATGACCGCGGGTTTCGTTTAATTTATTAACTTTCTACGTTACCCAGAAAGATCCATTAGCTTTGAAACTTGGTTTAACATTGAATCGAAGAAACTACGTGTCAGCATATAATGGACGAAAGTGCGTATTATTTTTGCTTCTCATCTATATCAGATATTTTCTATTCTCTCGCTAAAACGAGTTCATGATCCGGAAAAATGCGTTTTAGCAGGCGATTAATAACGACACGACAATTGCTCGTTAGGAGGCAGTATTTGAAAGTAAAACAAGAAACGATTACTGTACACGCGCTCCGTTGAAGATGCAGTTACTATTACAATATTTTCAATGTTCAGTATCTCTTCAATCGATAACTTGTTTCAACTGATAAGCTCTGATTTAGAAAAAAATCTAATCTACCGGAAACGTGCTAGCGAAATTTTTAAATAAAGCGATCTTGAAGATACTGCTTCGTATCTTAAAAGTTAAAAAAATTGATGTAGCAAATTAGATAAAATTATAGTTTTGAAATTGAACTGTACAGATTCGTAATCAGTCGCAGAATTCGACCTACAAATGTAATTAACAACGAATTTTTTTGAGCCAT